TCATCGCTCCTCGCCATCAAACTGTTTCTAGCTCCCCCCTTACTTCATCGTCCCTCGCCCTCAACCGGTTTTACTGAGGTAACCTTCTCTCTATAGATCTTGGCCCAAAATAAGCGTACGATCAGCTGGGCGTTAATCGATACTGCGCGAGCGCGATCACGCGCAGTAATCGGAGGAAACCGGGAAGGTTCTCGAAAATACGAGAACCTTCCAAAAAGCTTACCTTATTGCGAGAGTAATTGCAAAAATCACTCTCTATCGCCGATCGAACGAATACAGTCGCAGTTGCCGAATTAAATAAAGAGACAGTCGGATCGTATAATTAATACTTAAGAACTTAGTCAAATTTCCTTGTTCGGAGTAACAGGGCCGGAGACTTCTATATGGAAGGTGTGGAGTACTCCACACCTCGATTCCTTGAAGGTGTGGAATTCCACACCCCGAACATGGCGTATTTAAAATATATTCTCACATAAAATATTTAGACCCGTCTATGACAATAGTTGTCAGTAGAATATAAACAATAATATTGTTCATCATATTATTAATGGTTGCTGAGTTAATTATATGATTGGCCAATTACGGCTTGTAAAGCCCGTATCAGACGACGCATTGAAGATTGAGATTAAAGATTAAAATTTGACCTATCAGAATAAAGAACTTTTAATTTCTTTTGTTTCGATTGGTCAAATTTCAATTTTTAATCTTTAATCTTCAATCTTCAATGCGTCGTCTGATACGGGCTTAACACCAGTTGCGCTTCTCTGATTATCTAGGACTCTATAGTTAATCCTAAAAGATATGTCTACACATTAATACTTTGAATATAGAAATAAGAACAAAGATAGAACCATTTATTTATCAATCATAACTAAAAACTAATTACATAAAAATGAATATTTATTGAGACTAATTAAATATATATTTATAGACTAGCTCTATCTGAAGCTATCTGAAAAGAATTATAAAATTATATAAAAATTCTGAACTTTTTTTTATATGAAGATTCTTAAAAATTTTATAAAAAATTCTAAGAAAAACTCAAATCCTTGTGAAAATTTGTCTCAAAATTTTTTATATTATTTTTCAGAATTTTTATGTAAATTTCAAAGTTTTGAATGCGTAAGTATCACGTTAGAATACGCGCATTTTGAACACACGATTAATGCAGTTTCCAAGCCAATGCGATGATACGCGCATTAAAAGCGCGTTGTACGCGCATTGGCGCTTCTCGGGGAGATGAAGCTACGTGTAATAGCAAAGTGACGATCGCCTCCCCACTTCTTGTGGAGACGACTGTCACTTGTCACTTACACATTATCTATGAAAGACTCACGCGAAGGATCATAACTGTGTGTGTGTGTGTGTATTCGGTGTTACAACCGTGCCCGAAATTCAGCTCGAAATTCAGGAACCACGCAAGGAGTTTTAACTTGAATACTTTCATCTCCATGGAAAAGTTCTTATTAAAAAAGGAAAAAAAATCAAACGAAACAGAATTTGAATACCCAACTCCTCTTTCAAATTCAGATGAGAATTCAAATAAAAATTCAAAGGCTATCGATAGATTTTCGATTGATGACGGAAACGAAGAAAAAAAACGGTAATAAGTAAATATTTTCTTCTCTGATCGTTATCAATATATAATTTTTATATTTATATTTTAATTATTTTTCTGCCTGAAAATTTTATTTAAAACATTTACTTAAGATAATCATATTCAATGTATGTCATTTGTTTTTTTGTTTTTACTTTATTCGGCTGTCACGTTTTGTATTAAATTTTGCATCACTTATTATTTCCTAATGATATAATTCACTTTCATTAAAATATTCAAAGCTGATAAAATGATTACATTATATATAGAAATGAGCTTCGTGTAATAACTACTAGAAAATTTTACAATAAATTTTTAAGAGATAAAAGTAACAAGAATTGCAGCAACGTCATCAGAACTACCTTACAAAATTGAAATGCACAAGCATAAAAAAAAGCGAAAAATAACTAAAGCAATTTATGTCAGTTACACTTTCTTTCCAGATGCTAAAATGCTATCGTCATTTAGTCGTTGGCAATGTACGTATAACTGGCTAAAACTTAATTCGGCAAAAAAAGCAGTCTGCTTAGTATGTACGGAAGCAGTAATGCTGCAATTACCTTTGTCAGCGACAGCAAACTGTAAGGGGCTGAGCACAATAAAAGGAATAAGGAACAGGGAACAGAGAATAGGGAACAAGGAAGACTGGGAACAAGAAATTACGCACAACGGAGGAATAGGGAATAGGAAACAAGAAATAAAGTATGACCGACGAGCAGATTGTATTATTATTAAGTACATCGGTTTTGCAAATGGGATTAATATATTTACGAAATAAGGAGAAAAAAAGACACAAATTATGGAGAACACGTAGATGGTGGGTTCGTCCTATTAATCTTCAACGTGATCAGTTGGGTGATTTTTGCACGTTATTTCAAGAGCTAAAACATGACCCAGAACTATTTTTTCGATATTTGAGAATGTCAAAAGAGATATTCAATAAGTTGTTGGAAAAAGTGTCAGTGTATCTGATAAAAACTAGCCACAGAAAACCACTGCTTCCAGAACAACGCTTTAGTAATAACGCTGAGGTAAATTGCATTACTTTTTTATGTATAATTCTCTTGCAATTTATAGAAGATTATTTATAACTTTTCAATTTATTCAGGTATTTAGCTGCAGGAGATCTACCTCTCTCTATCGCATTGCAATATCGTGTAGGAGAATCGACAGTGCGTCAAATAATCAGTGAAACATGCTCTGTGCTAATAAAAGTATTGTCTCCTGTCTATCTAAAGCCACCAAATGAAGTAGAATGGCTGAAAATTAGTCATGGCTTTTATGAGAAATGGAATATGCCCAATTGCGTAGGAGCTGTGGACGGGAAACATATTCAAATTGAAGCTCCGCCAAATTCTGGTTCAATTTGTTTTAATTATAAAAAAACATTTAGCACAGTTCTAATGGCAGCTTGCGATCATGAATATAAATTTACTATAATTGATATCGGAGCTTATGGAAGTGAAAGTAATGGTGGCATTTTGGCAAGATCATCTTTTGGAGTAGCAATAGATAACGATGATTTAAAACTACCTGCAAATTCTGCAGTTCTTCCAGGTTCTAATCAAGCAACGCCTTATTTCTTTGTTGGTGACGAAGCTTTTAAGATGTCACGTCATATGATGCGCCCTTATCCGGGTAGAAATCTGACTGTAGAAAAAAAATTTAATTACAGACTTTCTCGGGCCAGACGTGTCATCGAAAATGCATTCGGAATTTTAGTTGCACGCTGGCGCATATTTTGCAAACCCATCAAGATGAATCTTGAAAAAATAGAAATTATGACAGCTGCATGTATATGCCTTCATAATTTTATTATAACTGAAGAGAAATTACAATCGATTTCTGAACGGCAATATGCATCTCTTTAATGCATTGACGCAGAAGATGATCGAGGAAATGTGAGACTAGGTGAATGGAGACATTCTAATAATAATCGTATGACACCGCTCGCTAATACTAGTGCTCATCGAACTACTAATGAAGCCTATCATCAACGTGATGTTTTATGTAAATAGATGAGCCCTGAAGGTCAAGTACCTTGGCAACTGGAATATGTTTTAAGAGGACGACATGCAGATGATCATAACACAACTATGTCATCTTCATCGGTGTAGAAATAAATCACAACTAAAGTTTTATGTTCTATAAAATATTTATTTTTGTAACAAAGGAACTTAAACCTTACATTATTTTGTACTTTACATTAATATTTCTTTTCATAAAAAAATTAAAGCTTCATGTTCTATAAAATATTTTCTTTATATAATAATAAAGGAACTTAAACCTTACACTATTGTTATTTTTATCTTACATTAATATTTCTTTTAAAAAAAACATGTCGATAAAATATTATAATTTTTTCCAAATTAGCTTATTATAAATAGTTTGAACATATATTGCAATCATATTAGTTTGAACAAATATTGCATATTAAAATAAGTTTAACTAAAACAAAAATTCAATCAAATAAAAAAAATAAATATCTTTTTATCTATTAATTATTCACAATAAGTATATAATTAATCAGTCTGAGTTATTCATATGATCCATTAAAACTTGCATAATCTTCTTTCGAAGAACAGATTTATTTGGTTCCTGAGCATCTTGCAGTTCTTTGACAATTAAATTTGCCAATGCATGATCTCTCCCTTCATTTTTTTTTTTGTAATGTGGTTTGAGACTTGAACTACCGATGCGGAAACAGCTCTAAAAGAATCCTCAAAAATATCAGAAATTACTTTTTTCTTTGATTTAGTGAATTTAAAATTGTTTAATGATAATGTTGAATCTGGCGCTGATTCAGAATCCTGCAATAAAAACAATTACTGTATAAGTACAACGTTATGAAATCAGTACACAAATAGTCAAAGCATACCGTATTTGTTAAATCCAAAAATGGTTCTCTGCTACTGTTTCCATTATCTGATATATCAGTTTTTGTTACATCCACAAATGATTCTCTGCTACTGTTTCCATTATCTGATATGTCTGTTACACATAAATCATAACTAGCAGATTGATCTTTATTCGTCGAATTATTGTTAACATTGTGAGATGTTGCTGTAGATTTTTTTAAATTAGTATAAGTCCTGAAACATTAAAAATATAGTAAATACAATGATATAAAATAAAAAAATAATACTGATTGTATGAAAATACTTATTAAAACCTCACGCACTTTCTCTTGTACATGTGACTCTCCAAAAAATTCATCGAACTAAATAAATACCAAGGCGTTCGGCTAACTGCCTTTGATCCGCTTCTTCCTTCCAATTCTTGCTTTTGTCGTTCTTTGGCATAATATTGACGTAGTCTTTGCCATCTACTTTGACAAGTACTCACTGCAAAGATTAAGTTTATTTATTGGTTATAGTTATATTTAAGCAGAGACACACAAAAGTTGTTTTCCAAATCAGATATTTACCAGATTGATTCAGAATTGTGGAAATTTCTTCCCAAGACGTTTCTTTTTTGGCAGCATCTTTATAATCTTTTGTTTGTTTATTCCACAAATATGGATATGACCTTACTAAATCAATTAATAACTGGTCACTACTTTTATTGTTTTCAGTTAATTCAAGACATATTCACTCTCATTATCTGCTGAATCGTCGTTCAAATATGGATTTTGACTGCTATACGCGTGATCACTCATTTTTCACTATAAAATAATTTTTAACCAAATAATTACACGTATGTACAATGAACATGGCATGCGATGTTTTCTCTCGGTTATACATAACCAAGAAACATGTTATGTACGGCGCAGGAATAAAATTTCGTCACTGTTCCTAAGCGCTATTCCTCTGTTCCTCTATTCTGCGTTGATGAATTAGATTTCATGTTTTAATATTGAACTGTTCTCTATTCCCTGTTCCCTGTTCTTTATTCTCTATTCTCTGTTCTTTATTCCTTTTATTGTGCTCAGCCCCTAATGCTTCTCGTTAAGCTTTTGTCGACAATGGTTTTCAATGTTGGAAAAATGCTTTGTCCCAATTCAAAAATCATGAAAGCAGTTAACTTCATCGAGAAGCAATTAAACTATTGGCATCGATAAAAAAGGAAAGTGTAGTCCAGTAACTTTCAACCGCAAAATTAAAAGAGATGTCAGATAATCAAACAGCCTTACATAAAACCTGCACTACAATTTTAATATTAGCCAGACAAGGTTTAGCGTTTCGAGGAGATCAAAATGATAACAATTCAAATTTTATACAATTTTTAAAAATGCGCGCTGAAAACATCCCTGAGTTGAAAAGGCTATTAAATAGAGAAGGCTACAGTTTTACATCTCATCATATTGTAGATAAACTTTTGAATATGATGGCTGATGAAGTAGTAAGGCAGCAACTTTTAGTTATAAAAACTGCTCGTTATTATTCAATTCTTTGAGACGAAACAGCGGACATAACTAGATACAAACAAATCTCCATTTTTTTAAGGATTGCCTCGGACGATTTAGAGACACGTGAAATCTTTCTTGGATCTTATCAAACAGAAAACACGAAAGCTGATACGCTTTTAAATATTGTGCAAGATATATTTACTCGATATGATTTAGATATAAAAAGTTACGATGGCAGTGTTATGACGGAGCAGCCAACATGAGTGGACATCTATCGTGGACAAAATCGGAAAACAATCCTCAACTATCTCCGTTTTGCCCAACAAGGTTAATTATAATTATGATATAAATATGGTATAAATATGTATAAAGCAGCCTTTAGTCAATTTGAATTGGGTTTAATTTATTTTAACAAAGTTTTGTTGAGTTATAATTTTATAATTATAATTTCTTGAATTTCCATTACAAACAACAGTTTTTATTGTTCAAGCTGAATTATAAATTTTATATATGGGTAATAATTTAACATATATTATTTTATTTGTATCATTGTTGTTTTAGATGGTGTATGCGAATTAAATCATTAAAAACAGTTCGCGACAATTACGAGGTTATACAGGATTTTTTTGATAAATTGGCAAATGATCCAGAAATTGATCACTCCACTATGGCAAGAGCGTCGGGATTTTTGAATCACATACAAACTTTTGAGTTCTATTTTTTCTTAATCGCAGTAATTGAAATGTTTGATAAAATAGAAGTGCTGAATGTGTGTGTGTGTGTGTGCCTCATTGCAAAATTCTAATCTTTGCGTTAATGCTGGACACGAAAATGTAAATACTGTGATAAACATCCTGTCAAAGGACCGAGATACGAAATTTGCAAAATTATGGGAAAAAACGAATGCAGATATTAAAGTGTTAGGCTTAGAAGATCTAAAATTAAAGCGTCAAAAAAAAATCTCCAAACGTTTCGAACAGACATCTATCGAAAGTACTGCTCACATTTTTAAAACACCTAAAGAATATTACAAAAAAATATTTTTAGAAGTTTTCGATCAAGTGTTAATGTCATTGAATACTAGATTTAGTTTTGAAACAAAACAGTTATTAAATACATTAGAAAACTTTTTGACTGCAAAATCTGAAGACACCGGGGTAATATTTGATTTTTATAATAAGTCCATGCCTAAAAATGCAACAACACCATCAGATGGCGACATCGATGAAGAAAAATTGCTCCGACACCGCGAAATGTTTTTTGATATATTAAATGATAAAAACGTGAAAATTAATACATTCAAGGATGTAGTTACTTTTTAAGAGATAATAAGACCACACGTGATTTTCTACCAGAATACAACAATCTTGTCAAACTTTTGCTAACTGTTCCAAATTCAATATGTACATGTGAGCGCTCTTTTTCAGCCATGCGACGTCTTAAGACATACTTGCGCAATTCAATGGGGCAAAGGCGACTAAATAGTGTTGCAATATTGCATGTTCATAAGGATGATGCCTCAAATTTAGATCTTGAAACCCTCATGAATAAATTTATATCAAGAAATACGCTCAGAGCAAGTATTTTTGCGACATCACACGAAACGCGATAATAACAGATTTAAATAAGATTTACATATATACATATAGTATTTAATAAATGTTAATTATAATATATAAAAAATACATGTAGTCTACATATATACGCACAAATCTGCAAAATTTTTTTGCCCCCCCCCCCCCGTTTGTACTTGGAATTCCACACCCCGAGTGATAAGAAGTCTCCGGCCCTGCGGAGTAATATTGTAAAATACATAGTTCAGTACTTAGTAAAAATCAGTGTCGATAATAATTTGATAATCATCCTGTCGTTTTTCTGTTTTCGCTCAAGTATCGTTGTGGTTTATTTTAAATAAAAATATCAAGGGTCGCGTATAGGATGTAACCGTCAAAATCGTTCAAAAAATCAGAGCAGCCAATCATGAACAGTCGGAATATTTTTTTAAGACTTTATTCGGTTAAAATACATTGTGTCAAGTTATAAAATAACAGCCGAGTCGAAATATCGAATATCAAAAAGAAAACTCTTGTCGAATCTTTCAACATGGAGTGGAGCGTGTACGAGAATCGCATCACTGTTCTCGCGCTGCACCGTGTGGGGAAGAGTGCTCGCGAGTAGTTATACTAGGCCGGTTTTAACCCAGGACCAATGAGGGGGGTGCGGGTGAAGAGGGAAAGAGTTTGAGGGGGAGGGGGTAATTTTGGAGGAGAGGGGGTAATGACGTCATCGTTTTGGAGGAGAGGGGATAATTTTGGAGTGGAGGGGGAGACGAGAGAGGTGCGGGAGAGAGGGGAAGGTATCAGATTACATCAATTCCCGGAAGAGATAAGGATTCCTGGAAAAGATAAGGATTGTTTATATAAACATGAGTCATTGAGAGATAAGGATTCCTGGAAAAGATAAAGATTGTTTATACAAAGATAATTTGCAGGCACGTGCAGGTTTTTTCTACACATCAAAGTAGAGCGCCTGTTTAAATTACATCATCGTTATTTTTAGAACAAAGGCCCTTAGCAACAGGCAGCCGTCATCGCTATTTTCAGAACAAAGGCCCTTAGGTAGCGCTATTTTTAGAACACACGCCCTTAGGCAGCATTTGGGCACCGTCATCGTTATTTTTAGAACAGACAATGGAGGGGGTGATAAGGATTGTTTATACAAATTTTAGGCAGCGCCATGTTGCCAGATTTCAATTTTGTGTGACATCATCGCTATTTTTAATTAGTGTCGTGTGCAACAAGCGGGTATATAAAGCAAGTGAGAAAAAATATGAATCTTCAAAGTCATTCGCAATGGAGAAGGAGCGCGATCTTACCGTACGAGCAGCGAATATCAAAACGTTAGGAGAGTTCCTCCCATGGGACTACGAGTGCGACGAGTACCTCGATTCTCTGAGAGAAAAATGTCGCAAGAAGCAACGAACCGAAGTAATTCACTCTCTGGTGGCGCAAATAGTGCGTTTGGAGAGTGTGAGGAAGATCATTCAAGAGCGTTTTCTACCCACCGGCGGCGGATACGGAACCCAGAGAAGATTCACCTGGAAAGAAATCGAGACGGCCTTCAGAAATCGAATACTAACCGGTGCGGTTATCAATTCCGACTACATCAATCTACGCGAATTTTTGGAAAAGATAAGAAATACAATCATCGAGCGGATCCAAAGCGTCATGGTGGAACACAACAGCGTCAAGATCAACACCGCGTTCAACGGGGAATTCATCGCAGGCGACAAGACTGCCGTAAAAACCATCGCAACCAAGAACCGCGAGCTATTTCCAACAACCGATGTACAAGAATGGTACACGAAGCATGTGGTTGACGTCATCCTGGCGTCTTTGGAAGAGTTTCAAGAACGCGACAGCGGATGGGCATTGTCACGTATCTTGGACCTCACCATCAACGTCAACAAATTCAATCCTCTACGCGCAGGATGCCACATTCAGTTACCGCAAAAAATTATGCTAAAAAGGGCGGTGGTCAACGTGCAAACAGCGGACAATGCGTGTTTTGCGTGGGTAGTCGTCGCCGCTTTACATCCAGCGGAAAAACAACCGGAAAGAACAATCGAATACCCACATTACTCGACGGTGCTGAATCTGTGTGGTATCGAGTTCCCCATGACGCTTCCGCAAATATCAAAATTCGAGAAACTGAACACCATCTCCGTCAACATCTTTACCACCGAAGACTCCAAAATCATCCCTTTGCGCCTCGCCAACGACAAGATGGAGAAGCATGTCAACCTTCTCTATGTGCCTGGAAACAACGAGGCACACTTGGTGCTGATTAAAAACTTGTCTCAATTGGTGAGCTCACAATTGTGCAAGAGAGAACACAGACAACATATTTGTGATCGGTAAGTAAAAACACATTTATAGAATAATTTGAAACTTTATTCGCAGTATTAATTATACAAACTATTACAGGTGTTTACACTACTTTTGGATGAGCGAGAAATTGTCAGTCCACAGCGTCGACTGCAAGAAGATGAACGACTGCGCAGTTATTCTTCCCAACGAAGACAACAAGTGGCTGACGTTCCGCAACTACAACCGAAAGGAGCGGCTCCCGTTTGTAGTGTACGCCGATCTGGAGTGCACGCTGGAGAAAGAGGAGGGACAAAACCATACCACATACGCCTACCAACATCACAAGGCGTTTAGCGTAGGATATTATGTAAGTTGTACATACGATAACTCATTATCTAGTTTTTAGTCTTATCGCGGTGAGGATTGCGTAGCGTGGTTCGTCAATGAACTCCACGATTTGGCACACCACGTAAAAACGATCCTTACCACCGTCGTCCCCATGGCGGATCTTACGCGGAAGGAATCGGAGGAATTCCGTAGCGCCGTAAATTGTCACGTGTGCGAAAAACCGTTCGCACCGGAGGATACGCGGGTGCGCGATTATTGCCATCTCCGGGCGTTACCGCGGTGCCGCGCACTCGTCATGTAATTTAAATTACAAAGACTCCCACGTTATCCCGGTGATATTTTACAATTTATCCGGTTACGACGCGCATTTCATTATTAAAGACGTTGCCAATGCTTTCGAAGGCAGCATCGAATTGTTACCGTTGACAAAAGAGCAATACATTTCTTTTACTAAAAACGTTAAAGATACGGAAGATGAAAATTCCAAAATTTGCGTGAAATTACGTTTTATAGATTCGTTTAGATTTCTCAGCACCAGTCTGGAAAAATTGGCATCTTATCTGACAATAGATGAATTAAAAATTTCACGATCGGAATTCAATCATTTATCCGCGGAACATTTCAATTTGTTTACTCGGAAAAGTGTGTTTCCCTACGAGTACGTCGACAGCGTCGACAAGCTCTGGGAGACTTGCCTACCTCCGCGCGAATAATTTTACAGTTCGTTGACTGGTGAAACGGTATCCGAGAGCGATTACGCGCACGCGACAAACGTTTGGCAAACTTTTTCGATCGAAACTCTTGGACAGTACAGCGATTTATATTTAAAAACGGATGTTTTTTGTTGGCGGATATTTTTCAAAATTTCCGAAACACTGTATAAAGAGTTACGGTTTAGATCCCGCACAGTATTACACTTTACCGGGATATACGTGGGATGCTATGTTGAAGCACACGCGCGTAAAGTTCGAGTTGCTCACAGACATCGACATGGTCCTGTTCGTTGAGTGCGGTATACGTGGTGGTCTTAGCCAATGCTCCAACAGATACGCTCGCGCCAACAATAAATATATGCCGTCGTACGATCCATCGAAACCATCATCGTACCTTATGTACTTTGATGTTAATAACTTGTACGGTTGGGCAATGTGTCAACCGTTGCCCTATGCCGATTTTCAGTGGGTCGAAAATGTCGCGAGCTTTGATGTAATGTCCGTAACATTCGATTCGACTACCGGTTATATGCTGGAAGTCGATCTTGCGTATCCGGTGAATCTTCACGACGCGCACACCGATCTACCGTTCTGCCCGACGCGCGATAAGCCGCCCGGCAAGCGGGAGATCAAGTTACTCGCCACGCTGTGCGATAAACAGCGATACGTCATTCACTACCGTAATCTACAGCAATGTATTCGACACGGCTTGCAGGTTACAAAGATTCACCGCGTACTGCAATTCGCGCAATCTCCATGGCTTCGAGGATACATCGAACTAAATACAAAATTTCGGACATGCGCGATCAATGATTTCGAGAAGAATTTGTACAAATTAATGAACAATGCAAAACTATGGAGAATGTGCGAAATCATATGGATGTACGGCTGATTATGCGATGGAAGGGTCGGTACGGAGCAGAGGCTATGATCGCCAGACCAAACTTTCATAGTCGAAGCATGTTCTCGGAGAATCTAATCGCCGTAGAATTGCGGAAACTCGAAGTGAAATTCGACAAGCCGATCTACGTAGGTATGTGTATCCTCGACATATCCAAGACCTGCTTGTACGAATTTCATTACGAATACATGGCACCTTTATACCACGACAATTGTAAAATTATGTATACCAATACCGACAGTCTGATATACTTTCTACAATGCAAGAACGTATATCACGATATGAAACGCGATCTTTCAAAATTTGATACGAGCGATTACTCCGAGGACAACGTTTACGGTATACCGCGTGCGAACAAGAAGATACCGGGTCTGATGAAGGATGAGAACAACGGCGCGATCATGACGGAATTTGTCGGACTGAGGGCGAAAATGTACGCGTTGAGAGTCACCGGACAAAAAGATACCAAAAAGGTTAAAGGTGTAAAGAAAAATGTAGTCGCTAGAACGATAACGTTCGACGATTACACTCGGTGTCTCAACGATGAAATCGAGCCCAGGGAGAAACACAAGATCGGATATACGTCTATTAGATGTCGGAGCCATCTAGTCTAAAATAATGTCTAGAAATATCTAAATTAGATGCCATGTAATTTTGTGTCATTTATTTCCTTATACAAAATTAAAACTTAATATTTACACAATAGCGATGTATTGTTTATCAAACACTGTTTAGATTACAAATTATCTTTCGACATCTAATAGATGTCTAATAGACTTCTAACAATAAGTAAATATATTAATGCAATATAGGCTTAGTTTACACCGATTGTTTAGTACACGTATCAAATACTAAATCAGCTTCTTTAATTGGTGTAGATTTTACACTAAACGATTTATACCTATCGAAGAAGCAGATTTAGTATTTGATACGCGTACTAAACAATCGGTGTAAACTAAGTCATAGCCTCATCAGGATAAAAACACAAAAATTTTGTGGTTAAAAAAATAATCTCATAAAATGTATTTTTGGTCTAATATTAATATTTACTTTGTATTTGCGCGAATCAATTTCTGTCTGTCATGATTTTGGAGATTATAAAATTAATAATGATGTCTACATATATGATCGATAGCTATACCTGCAAAAAGAAAGAAATAGCATTATGTCTGCCCTCTTTTACCCGAGGCTGTCAGCAGTATATATAATTATAATCGATTATATATATAAATTGTTCTTTAATATTATATTATATTAATATTATATATATATATAATATTTTTACGGAAAAATTGTTTTAGTAATTTTGTATTTTTGCGGGTGCTATATTGACCAATCAATATCGATCATTTATATGATTGGTTACGTTGCCTTTCATACCGCTCAGGCTGTGTTCGGGGAGCGCGCTATCAGCGCTATCGCATTATTCTATCTTTATCGTTCATTGGACATAAAACAAGGATAGAGTGACACAATAGCGCTGATAGCGCTCTCCCCGAACGCAGTCTCAGGCTCAACAAGTATTGCCGCGCGAATGCTGTAACCTATTCACGTGTTTACGTGCTGTGCTGTCTTGTGTCTCGTGTGTGCTGCTATAAAATAGTAAAAAATGGATAATGAAGAGAAACCGGTAAGTGCACGATTTTTTTCCCAAGGAAAAATTGATTGTGCTTTATCTTGTGATTTAATATATTTGTGTACTTTAAAGTAAAATATTATGCTTTTAGGTTAGTTCGCATTTGCAAAAGTTCGCGTTGCATCGCATTGTACACTCTTTAGTTCTTTTTTCTCTCCAACGCCTGAATATAACGTTCTTCTCATTTTAAGTGCGAATTGTATACAAGTGTACAAAATAGCAACGCAACAATAACAAACCTTTTGTTTGTTTTACTTCTAATAATGTATAAACTCAATTTTTAGATTATACTTCTTTAAAGATTTTGTCAACTTTGTCTTATTAAAATTTTAGATCTAGAAAATATTAGATTATTTTTTATCTTAGAGTATTAGTAAAATTGAACTTAACAAATTTTATAATAAATATAATTAAATATTGTGTATGTATTCGCAAAGAAATTTGAATAATGTAGAAATGTATCGTATAATATATTCTACTGTAATAATATAAGTACCTACTTTAGAAATCTTATAAATATTATTATATTATATATATTACAATTATGTACTGTGTTAAATGTATATTATGCAGTATTGTTTTAAGGCTCAGTGAAACATATACTAAGAAAAAATACAGCATTGTAGTGTATGCGTCAAATGATATTAAAGATATAAATGCGCAAGCATCCTACAATGCTGTATTTTTTCTCAGTATATGTTTCAGTGATCCTTAAAACAATATTGCATATTATAATAAAACAATGTACTTATGTACTACATATAAATAAATCTGACATTACATTACACGAGGCTATAATTTTGACAGTTCATTAATATATATTAACAATCCGTTGGGTTAAGCCCATATCAGACTACGTATTAAAGATTGAAGATTGGAATTTAATTAATCAGGACAGAAGACTAAAATTTCTTTGTTTTGTTTAGTCAAATTTCAATTTTAATTGTTAATGCATGGTTTGATACGAGCTTTATATAAGCTTTATATAAAGCGTCTAATCAACATTTATAAGACATCTACAAGACGTCTAATAGATGTGTCTAATAGAAACCATGTCGACGTCTACCGAGATGCAAAAATCAACTTATTTTAGATCTATCGAATAGACGTCAACTAGACATCTATTCGACTTTACGTTTCTCCCTGGGGGCCCACGCGGCGTCAATCGCGTATCCGCTCAAAGATGCACGAGGTGTACACCATGTCGAAGTCGAAGCTCGCGCTCAGTCCGTACGATGATAAGCGGCACGTCGTATCCGATTCCACCGACACTACCGTGGGGACATTATAAAATACAATTGTAGTATTAGTATTTAGATTATTATTATGTTGTATATAGTTTATACATTATATTATTTATATTGTTTATACACTAGTGTTAATATTTATGTATAGTTTATATATTATTTAATAAATAACACCATTGCAGTACATGTATATAATTGTTTATTGTAGAATAAATATATTTTATTACAATACATCGTCTTTATTTATCCAAGAATTATGCGAATTGTCGAATCCCAACCACTTTACAAACACCTTATCGTCCTTTCGGCGCAACACCTTCTCTACGAGATAAACGTCGGGTTGAGCGGTCTTGAGCAATTCGTACTCGTAAAAGCCTCCCGCGACCGGATCTCCGCGATAATCTTTAATCAGATACGTCACAGGATTGGTACGTTGCACCGTGGCGATCTTAAACACCTCCGTCGACCAATTCGGCGTGTATCCTTTCTCGAATACAGTTTTGAATTTGCTCACGCGCACCGGATCACCCACCCTGAATTTCGCCGGCGCGGCAATTTTTATATTACTGTACACGGTGCTCAAGAGTCCCTTTACGATCTCGGGAGTGACATCGATCGGGCGCATACCGATCGTACGATGTTTACGACCGTTGTATTCCGAGACCAATCGCGGTAAATCGTCGATCCACTTGTACGATCCCGTGAGCGCAAAAAACTTCCACATTTCGTTCTTTAACGTACGATTGAATCGTTCCACCACCGAAGCCTTCATGACCGAGTATATCGAATAATGATTGATGCCGTGTTTCTGGACAAGATTTTGGAAATCTCTGTTGTAAAATTCTTTTCCATGGTCGGTCTGCAAATTTTTCGGAAATCTCTCCCTAAATATCGCGGAAAATGCTTTGGACGTTTCAATTCCACCTTTGGTCTCTAAGGGCATGGCCCACGCGTACTTGCTCAACACATCGATAACGGTTAAAATGTAGTTGTAGCCGCCGTTGGATCACGAGTATGGCCTTATCTCGACAATGTCAGCCTGCCACAAATCATCGTATCCTTTCACGACGACTGGCCTACGCGTAAAGTTTCTTCTCGCTGGTGCGTGGAGCTCGTCCACGAGCGATCTCCTCTCCAGGCTCACCGCTTCCTTCTTGCTCATTGCGATTCGTTTTGCTTCTTCATTGCCTCATTGTAGTATTCAATGAAATTTTTTCTCATAGCTCTACGAAGATGTACCTCTCAAAGTGCGACAGAACATGTGGTTCTAGCATGATGGTTGTCCAGCACATTATTCAGCAATAGTATGAGAAGTGTTAAATCGTAATTACAATGATTGCTGGATCGGTAGAGGTGGTCCGGTAAATTGGCCTACCAGATCGCCAGACCTTACGTTATCAGATTTCTTTTTGTGGGGTTACCTTAAAGAAAAAGTGTATACAAAAGTACCAAATACTCGAGAAAACATAGTGGAACGTATTAGATATGCTTGCGCACAAATAACGCCAGATACACTTTCTACATGTGTACAAGCATTCCAAGCTCGAGTTAATAAATGCATCGAAATAAAAGGTCATCATTTCGAGCATTTATTGTAATTGAATAGTGAGAGGCGAGGGGACTCACCGAAATAAAGCACCTCGATGGTGAGAGAAAATGGCAAAAACTAATTTTCACTGATTACAGCGCCATCTATCACGATTCAAAAAAATGTCTCGGACAAAACTTACGTATTTTTTTCCAAGAAATTCGAATCTGCAATAAAAAATAAGGGTTCCTATTTAAAATTTCAAAGTTGCCACCCGCCCCACCCCCAAGGAGCGGTGGCGGCAGGTTAATTTTACACAGGCACGACGTCCCCCTTGATAATATTAAAAGTTTATTTGGGACATTTTTTCGTACAATGCTTATTTTTCGAAATATTTAGTTGTCTCAAGTTAAATGGGACACCCTGTATATATTACGTTTATAATTATCTATTTCATTTAGTCTCTATTAGGCCTTTGACCTATTATCATCTCTTTCAGTTTAATAAATATTTAATTATAGTTGTATAA